ATTCTTATGTCTTATGAAACTCATCATACACTGACTATTAGTGAGATTCTTGTTGTAAGTGACCTATAACATTAATATGGAAGAAAGTAACTGAAAACCGAACTTTCGTTTAGGTTGTAAATATGTTTGCACAAGCTTTAGGTTATCTTAATTCAATTGGTCCTTTTTTTCAATCAGTTTCGGAAGCTCAAGGTGCAGCAATATCCATATTCCGACTTATTGATGAGGTAAAATCGATTGAATACTAGAGACTAAACCTTGGTAATAATATTTTCTATTTTATTTTATGATATAGGTACATGATGAAAATCTGAATGAAAGAGAAATATTGCAAGAGAATATATCTGATGGAAAACTAATTTCAAATATTAATGGTGATATTGAATTTGACAATGTTAGTTTTTGTTATCCATCAAGAGAAAATGTAACAGCTTTGAATAATCTTAAATTGATTGCTCGTGCTAATCAAACAACTGCTCTTGTAGGTTCAAGTGGTTGTGGTAAATCTTTTTTTTGGAAACAAACATATCATTTTAATATTGAAATTCATTGATAGGAAAAAGTACATGTGTATCACTTCTTCTTCGTTACTATGAACCTTCTTCAGGTAGAATCATGATTGATGGTCAACCAATTACAGATCATAAAATCAAACAACTTCGTCAAAATATTGGAGTTGTTAGTCAAGAACCGGTAGGTTTCTTTCATTTTTGTTTTAGTCCCTGTCGAATTGTTATATATTAAAATAGATTCTATTTGGAATAAGTATTTATGAAAATATTCGTTTTGGTAAATTGAATGCAACACGTGCGGAGATTGAACAAGCAGCAGAACAAGCTAATGCACATAAATTCATTATGAAATTACCAAATGTTTGCTTTTGAAATATTTATATTTATTTATATTAATATTTTTGTTTATAGAAATATGAAACACTTGTTGGTGAACGTGGTATACAATTGAGTGGTGGTGAAAAACAACGTATTGCATTAGCTCGTGCACTTGTCAAACAACCCAGTATTCTTTTATTAGATGAAGCAACAAGTGCTCTTGATAATGTTAGTGAAAAAATTGTTCAAGATGCACTTGATCGAGCATGCAAAAGTAAGAATTATTTAATTACTATTGATTATATTACTATTATATATATATATATATATAGATCGTACAACTATAGTTATTGCTCATCGTTTGACTACAATTCAAAATGCTGATTATATCTATGTATTAGATAGCGGAAGTGTAATTGAAGAAGGTACACATGAAACATTATTGGCAAAAGAAGGAGGTAAATATCAAACAATGGTCAAAATGCAACAATCTGAAAAAACGATTGATACACAAGATGACTTAATGGATATGGCAAAAGCAGCAGCTGAAGATGAAGAAGAAATATGTATGTTATTAATATTCTAATATTAAGAATTGTTATGTTTTATAAACTTCATTCTGTTGTTTTTTGAAATAGTGGAACGCATTCGGCTTTTGAGTGAGAGCGAAGCAACTGATATAAATCAGGTACAAATAAACATGTAATAGCTTTAACAAAATCATTACCAATGAATAAATTTCTAGAGAGCTTCGACATCAACAAGAAAAAAATTTGTCTTTCTACGACTGTTGAAGATGAATAGTCCTGAATGGATGGTTATCTTGATTGGTTGTCTAGTATGTTTATTTGGTGGATTACGTGGACCAGCGTTCTCGATTCTATTCGCAAAAATAATTAGTGTGAGTGATTTTATTCATAGGAATATTCTAAGAAAAGATAAAAGATGTGTTTTTTTCGGTCGAATTTTTCTTTTATTTTAGGAATTTAATGATTGTAAATACACTGATATACGTCGTCGAGTGTTGATTACAAGTGGTTTATTTCTTCTTTTCGGCGCTGTTTTTATGATTCTTTATTTTTTCCAAGTAACAACATTATTACTAAATTATATCAATGAGTTTTTTATGTTCGTTTATAGTTTGTGACTTTTGGAATCGCAGGAGGGAAATTAGTTAGTCGCCTTCGTTCAAAAGCTTTCGCATGTTTTCTTCGTCAAGAAGTAGCTTATTTTGATCGACCCGAAAACAGTTCAGGTGCAATATGTACTCAACTGTCGTCTAATGCAGCTGCTATTCAAGACATGGTTGGTTCAAGATTAGGCGTTATTTGTGAAACTTTATCCATGTCTACTTTTGGCGTCTTGCTTGGTCTTTTTTACTACTGGCAATTAACAATAATCATAGCTGTTCCTTTCATTATCCTACTGATCGCCGTTACTATACAAATACGATTGAATTCATGGTTCAAAACAGAATCTGATCTCATTTACTGTCAAGCTAGCACGGTAAAACCATCTTGTTATTCATAATTTTTTAATGTTTAATAGAATTATGTTATCATACATTGTTTTATCAAATGATTATTAAATATTCATTTTGTGCTTTGTCTTGTTTAGCTTGCTGTTGAAGTTCTTACTAATATGCGCACCGTAAAACAGTTATCAATGGAAAATGAAGTTTTACGACAATTTTCGAATATGATTGATCATGTATTAAGGTTAGTCTTGTAAATATTATACATGCATATATATTTTGAAAAAACAAGCTATAATCGGTTACTTAAATATATTCCTATCATACAAAAAATAAATCTAGTTGTTAAAAGTGACTCGAGTTTTTCTATTGTTTTGTGTATTTTGGTTGTAATTTGCAATCATTAGTTAGAAAATTAACTAGCTGCAATGAAGCATTCCTCATATATAGATTCTCTACAAAGTGTATTTTGTCATCGTTTTCTTAGTTAATTTTTAAGATTTTTCATCATT